TGTGGGAAGCACATGGTCACAGGAGGTCTTTGCGTGAGCGTCTGTGGGAAGCGTGTGGTCACGTGAGATCTTTGCGTGATCGTGTGCGGGAAGTGCGTGGTCACCTGAGGTCTTTGCGTGAGCGTGTGGGAAGTGCGTGGTCACGTGATCTTGCATCTGGTGCAGCAGTGCATCACTTACTGATGGAGAGAGTTTTGAGAAAGTCGGTGTTTGGTTGTGAACACTGCAGAGTGCACTCACACAAACCCAGACAGTGCCACCCATGACACCCCGAGGCCACGTGGTGCTGCCCATTGCTCCAAGGCTGCAAACCCGCACAGTGTGTTGCTGTGCTGAATATGAGAGGCAACTGTAACGCAACGGTAAGCATTTGTGTCTCTAAACACACCTGAACCTAGAAAAGGTACAGCAAAACTAGGTCTCATATCGTACGGGACCCTGTGGCATTACAGGTTCATCGCTAGCCTGAACATTATCCCATGGTACGTGACTGTATTCTCTCAGTCCTCACTGTCACCATCAACCTCAACATCAACTATTCCTGCAGCTTTGTCCCACCAAGTGCCCATGGAGATGCCCCTGGAGCAGGTGCCCCCACCAAGATCGATGGAAAAGCCTGTCCTCGCCACCTCCAGGCATGGCCAGCAGCGAGCGGCTGGCTCTCCAGGAGAAGTGCTGGGTCTGAGCTCCGTCAGCGGCCGTTCCTCGGAGCCCGAGGTCCAAGCCCAACACGACTTGGAATAAATGATCAAGTTATGAATTAAACACAAGAGAAATGTAATTACCACAGGAGCCAGCTGAGAATAAAATGGATTACGCATATCACAGTCATTAAACGGTGATCACATGAGGGCCTTTCTAATGTGCTGCTGATTAAAATCAATCTAAGCACAAATTATGGTTCTGAGTAATCGCTCCCTATGGTTCATCCTTCGTGTTCCCCAAGGAGCTGACACTGAGAGGAAGCACCGGGGCGCCCTCACAGCCTGCACAGCTTCAGGGTCCACAGCCTCAAGCCTGCAGCTCGCACAGAAAGAGACCACCGTGTGGCCCTGGACTGGTGAAGATGCTGGCCATCCTCATGCTGTGGCCAGCTGTGTCCCCAGAGCTCTGCACAGGTGCAGCGGTTAACCCTCGCCATGCCCTATGATGGGGGTCCCTGTATGGGCCCCATTTACAGATGGGGACACTAAGTTGGGGGGTGACATGATCCACACAAGTTCAGATGACTTGTAAGTGGCAGAGCCAGGATTTGACCCCAACTTCAGGATGGGCTAGGAGCCACCATTCACCGGGACACAGCATGACAACTGTGTGTGCGTGTGTGTGTGCACGCCTGTGTGTGTGTATGCACCTGTGTGTGCGTGTGTGCGCTTGTGAGTGTGCACGTGTGTGCCTGTGTGTGCATGCACGTGCGTGCATGTGCGTGCATGTGTGTGTGTGCATGTGTGCACGTATGTGTGTGCTTGGGGGTATGCATGTGTGTCTGTGAGGTCACATGCACACACATGCTGCTATCTGATGGGATGATGCCTGGACTTTGGCAGGTGCCCCAGATTTCTGAAGACTCATGTAATGTCCCACCATCCCCCTGAGTGGAGAGACTCTCACCAAATTGGAAGTGAGAAATTGTGGGAAGGGTGGGCCTGTCCCAGCAGAGGTCACCACACTCATCTGTCCCCTCAGTGGTCACCATGCTCATCTGTCCCGGCAGAGGTCACCATGCTCACGGAACCCAGGGACCCCCATCTCAGTCCTGTAAAGTCTTTGGATCCGGGGCCACAGGCCCACGTACATTCCATCCATGTCCATGCATGACCCTTCTGCTCTGGGCTCCCACCTACGTGGCCAACATGGTGGCATCCCTAGGGAGCCCTCGAGGAACACAGCCCTCCCAGCACACAAGCAACACCTGTGGCCAGCCAGGGTCGTCACTGTGGAGAGTGCCATTGGGGGAGGGCCGGACGTGAGGCCCACCATGGCCAGCTGTTTCCACTCGCCACGTATCTTGCCAGTCCACACAGATTCCCTTGTAAGTTTTGATTGCTGGAGAGATGTCTGCCTCTTTGGCTGGCGACATGACTTGGCTCTGTTTCCCCACCCAAATCGCATGTTGAATTGTGATCCCCAGTGCTGGAGGTGGGGCCTGGTGGGAGGTGACTGGGTCATGGGGGTTTCTAATGGTTTAGCACCATCCCCAAGTGCTGTCTTGTGAGAGTTCTCACGAGATCTGGTAGTTGGAAAGTGTGTAGTGCCTCCCTCTTTGCGCTCTCTCTCTCTCCTGCTGCCATGTAAAGATGGGCCTGCATCCCCTTCCCCTTCCGCCAAGATTGTAAGTTTCCTGAGACCTCCCCAGAAGCAGGGCCCTGTACAGCCCGCAGAACTGTGAGCCGATTAAACCTCTTTTCTTTATAAACTACCCAGTCTCAGGTATGTCTTTGTGGCAGTGTGAGAAGGGGCAAGTGCGGCTGGCCTCCAATGGAAGCATGATTCACAGATTACTCCTTCTCCGTGCTCCCTGAGGGTGCAGAGAGGGAGGGACAGTGGGCAGGGCAGCCAACCCCTCTCTGTCAGCTGGTCATTGGATGGTGTTAGCCCTGCCTCCTGGGTCCCGCCCACAACAAACACTTATTGAGCACCAACTGTATGCCAGTTGAATAAAACAAAGATATCAGCCTGTGGGGAACTGTGTCCTAGCAACGCTACAGACACTGAATTACATCGCCAGCTAGAAGGAAACGGAGATTTCGGAAAACAGAAAAGAAGGGTGCTAGCGGGGGGTCAAGAGCACCAGAGAGGGGGAGTGGGCTGCAAGATGCAGTTCTATAGGATGATCAGGGCCTCCTTGTCACAGACCAGGAGGAGGCAGAGGAAGGAGCCCTGGGGATGTCGGGGAAGAGGGGGCTGCATGCCAAGGCCCAGGGCAGGGGTGGCCAGGCCTGTTGGGGGAGCCACGAGGCTGGAGGGAACAGGCAGGAGGAGGCAGGTGGATCACGCCGGGCAGGGCGGCCAGTGGCCACCAAAACCAGGGGACAGATGGGACCTGCCTGAGTTTGAAGGGTCTCTCTGGCTGTGGGTTTTCTGTCCAGAGTCAGGGTGGTGGGAATATGGATCCTCATTCCCCTCCGAAATCCACCGGCTCCTCCTCCCGCAGCCACTCTTAGTCCCTCCTGCATGCCGTGGTCCACCAAGGGGTCCTCAGCTGCACCCCTCCGTGGTTTCCACACTCATCTGTCCCCTCGTGGTCACCACGCTCCTCTGTCCCCTCCGTGGTCACCACACTCACCTGTCCCCTCCGTGGTCTCCACACTCACCTGTCCCCTCTGTGGTCTCCACCTCCATGGTCTCCACACTCGCCTGTCCCCTCCGTGGTCTCCACGCTCGCCTGTCCCCTCCGTGGTCACCACGCTCGCCTGTCCCCTCCATGGTCTCCACGCCCTCTGCCCCCGTGTCCCACCCCGTCTCCCTCCACCTTCCCTCCGTGGTCTCCACGCTCGCCTGTCCCCTCCATGGTCTCCACCTCCATGGTCTCCACGCTCGCCTGTCCCCTCCGTGGTCTCCACCTCCGTGGTCTCCACGCTCGCCTGTCCCCTCCGTGGTCTCCACGCTCCTCTGTCCCCTCCGTGGTCACCACGCTCGCCTGTCCCCTCCGTGGTCTCCACCTCCGTGGTCTCCATGCTCCTCTGTCCCCTCTGTGGTCTCCACGCTTGCCTGTCCCCTCCGTGGTCTCCACCTCTGTGGTCTCCACTCTCACCTGTCCCCTCCGTGGTCACCACGCTCATCTGTCCCCTCCGTGGTCTCCATGCTCATCTGTCCCCTCTGTGGTCACCACGCTCGCCTGTCCCAGCAGTGGTCTCCCCTTTGGAGGGGTCCTCACAGGGGACAATGCTGCTGTACCCTGGCCCCAGGGGTCCCCCTCAGGACACAGCCCACGTGCCCTCGGTGGTCACTGCCTGGATGGAGCACCTCATTGGCTCTTTCCCTTCCCTGCCTGCCTTCCCCACCCCCACCTGTGCTCACCAGGATCAGCCCCCAGATAATCCATTTGCAGCCAAATCCTTGTTGCAGAGCCTGCTTCTGGGGGATGCAGCCGAGACAGTGGCATTCTGGAATCTATTGCTGTGTAAGAAACCAGCCCACACCTGGAGCGATGGTCAGCACTGACCGTGCTCCTGGATCTGCAGTTTGGCCAGAGCTTGGCGAGGAGGGCTTGTTCTGCTCTGCAGTGTCGCCAGGGCCTCTGCTGAGGGCAGAGGGTTCATTTCTAACTTGCTGTTGAGAGCCAGGGGGAAGCTGTGTCACTTCAGACAAGCAAGTCGGGAAAGACAGTGTCACGCCTGCTGATCTGAGGGGAGGGGACACGGACCTCCCCGTCTTGATGAGGGAGGGGCAAGGTGCTGGGAGGGCGCTCGGAATGGGAAATACAGCATGGGCATTTGGGGAAAGTGCCATCTGCCATCATCTGCTCTGTGGCCCTGGAAACTCATAATTCTCCCTCATGCGAAATAAACTCACCTTCTGCCCTGGCTGCCCTATGGTCTCTTTCCACGGTTACATCAAACTCGGACTCAAGCCCGGGGTCTTGTCCCGCAATCCAAGTCCAGGTATGGACACGGTGCTGCAGGCGTGCGGCTCCCAGGTGCACCCCCCTCTCCATCTGAAGAGCTGTGAACTGAAGAGTTATCTGCCCCTGACAAGCTAACACCAGTAGTGGGACAGACACAGACCACACTGTCGGCTCTCCTTTCAGAGAGCAGGGAGGGGAGAGGCACACAGCAGCCTCCTGGGCATGTGGTCCTGAAATTTGGGTGAGTGAAATTACTGGGCCGGGCTGAGGGCTCAGTCCTAGCTCAGGGGATGGCTCTCCAGGGCCGCCCTGCCATCTGAGCCCTCAGTTCCATCCTCTGGGTCAACCTTCCTTTTCCATAAAATTAGTTCATCCTTGTAGCTGAAAAGTTTTTGCAAACTGCCAAAACTCACCCAAGAAGAAACAGATAAAGTGAATAGTCCTGTATTTATTTAAAAAATGGATTTTTTTTTCAATGAAATCTTCTGAAAAAGAAATCTCCAGGTCTAGATGTCTTCATTAGTGAATTCTAAGTAACATCAATTTATTCAATCTCTTCTAACAAATATACAAATGGATGAGGGGCTGCAACTACCACACAGCCTGGTGATTTTACCCAGAGAGATAAGCTCATGTTCACACAAAGCCTGCACGTGGATATTCGAGCACAGCCAATACAGGAAACTGCACAGGAGATAAAAACAGCATACAGATTAATACACACGCACGCAAGTGTGTACACATGGCTTAATACATACACATGAGTGTGTACACACGGCTTAATACACACACACGAGTGTGTACAAATGGCTTAATACACACACACACACGGTTGTGTACACATGGCTTAATAAACACACACACAAGTGGCACACATGGCTTAATATACACGTACACGAGTGAGTAGAAGCAGAACCACAGAATTGGAATAAGGTTGATAGGCTGGCTGTTTGTGATATCAAAGTACAGTTTTGTAGAATCTTACCATGGGGGAGACTGGGCAAAGTGTACAAGGGATCTCTTTGTATTGTTTATTTCTTACAGCTGCATAGAAGTCTAACATTACTTCAACTTAAAGAAAAGAAAGCCAGGAAGGGTGGCTCATGCCTATAATCCCTGCACTTTGGGAGGCCAAGGAAGGTGGATCAGATGAGCCCAGGAGTTACAGACCAGCCTGGGCAACAAAATTTACACAAATCATCTGGGTGTGGTGGTTTGTGCCTATAGTCCCAGCTACTCAGGATGCTGAAGTGGGAGGATCAGCTGAGCCTTGAGCCCGGGGAGGGTGAGCCTACAGTGAGGCGTGTTCATGCCACTGTACTCCAGCCCAGGTGACAGAGTGAGACCCTGTCTGGAAAAACACAAAGAGGATGAAACATTTCCCAAGTGATTTTATGAAGCCAGCATTACCCATATACCAGAACCAGATAAAGACGGTACAAGAAAATAAAACTAGACACCAATATCTTTCATGAATATAGACACAAAAATCCTTAACACAACACCAGAAATTGAATCCAGCAATATTTAAAAGCATAGCCCATGATTAAGTGTGGTTTACCCCGGAGTGGGGGCAGGCCTAACATTCCGAAAGTGACCAGCGCAATCTGCCACATCAGCACTGAAGAAGATCTACTGCAGGGTTGTGTCAACAGACTCAGAAACGGCCATCGAAGCTCAACACCCATTTACGGTTTAAAAAAAAAAACTGTCAGCAAACTAGAAATAGAAGGGGAACCTCTTTAACTGATAAAGGGCTTCTATTAAAAAAAATACATGCAGCTAACATCACACTTCACACTGAGTGGTGGACTGTTTTCTCCTAAGGCGAGGAACACGTAAAGGATGCCTTCTCTCACCACTCCTATTTGACATTGTACTGGAGGTTCCAGCCAGTGCAATAAGGCAAGAAAAAGAAATGAAAGGAATATAGATTGGAGAGGAAGAAATAAAAACTCTCCCTCTTCACAGATGACATGGCTGTTTATGTAGAAATCCCACGGCATCTGCCCAAAAGTGGGCCTAGCAGGTTTCATGACACAGAGTCAGCACGCGGGACTCAACTGCAATCTCTCTACGCCAGCAGAGGGTGCTGGGAAATGAAATTGCAAATACAGCAGCAGTTTCTATGAACGTTCAACTCAGTCATTATGAAAACATGGTGGTTCCTATGGATGTTCCTCGGGTTCACCCCATCAGCCCAAATCTCGATCTACAAATCTTGTCAAGACAAGTCCTCCTCTCCTGGGGGCTTCCTGGGGGTTGCCCTGGAACACTTCCCTGAAGATTCTTAGAAACTCCGTGTTTCGTGTAGAGCGTCTTTAAGGTATACCCTCAAGATCCACGGCAGACCTTTCCTTTATTTGAGAGAGTCTATGAATAATTGCCTGAAATTTTTCTGCTGTTTTAACAGAGGAGTTTAGGGCCACACCCTTCACTCCCTCCTTAGACCCTCTGCTGCTGCTGTCGTCTGAGCCTGACATCCTTTCATTAATTTAAGGATCCTTTGCCACCTGGAGAATCTTGGAATGAAAAACAGTGTTTTTGATTTTATTTTTTAAGCCACTGTGCAGTAAAACTGGATTGTAAGAAGTGATTCTATAAACCAGGCCTGGTGGCTCACACCTGTAATCCCAGCACTTTGGGAGGCCGAGGCAGGAGGACTGCTTGAACTCAGGAGTTCAAAACCAGCCCGGGCAACATAGCAAGACACCATATCTACAAAAAATATAAAAATTACCTGGGTGTGGTGGTGCATGCCTGTAGTCCCAGCTACCTGGGAGGCTGAGGTGGGAAGATCACTTGAGACCAGGAGATCAAGGCTTCAGTGAGCCATGATTGTACCACTGCACTCCAACCTGAGTGGCTGAGTGAGAACCTGTATCAAAAAAAAAAAAAAAAAAAAAAAGGAAAAAAAAAGGAATTTGACACATGTATGGATTTGTGGACCCATGCCCACCGTCAGGACACAGATCGCTTCATGACCCAGAGCACCTCCGCCATGCTCCTTTCTTGTTTGCCTGAGATGGAGTCTTGCTCTGTTGCCCAGGCTGGAGTGCAGTGGTGTGATCTCGGCTCGCTGCAGCCTCTGCTTCCCAGGTTCAAGTGATTCTCCTGCCTCAGCCTCTGGAGTAGCTGGGATTATAGGCAGGCGCCACCAAGCCCTGCTAATTTTTGTATTTTTAGTAGAGATGGGATTTCATCATGTTGGCCAGGCTGGTCTCGAACTCCTGATCTCAAGTGATCTGCCTGCCTCGGCCTCCCAAAGTGCTGGCATTATGGGTGTGAGCCTCCCTGCCCAGCCCCAGGCTACTTTCAAAAGCCACACTTTCCTTTCCACCCCAGCCCCTGGCAGCAGCTGGTCTCCTCTCCATCCCTGCAGCTTTGCCTTTTGGAAGCTGTCGTGTAAATGAAACCATACACTACTAGCCTCTTGGGTCTGGTTCTTTTGCTCAGCATGGTGCCTCCCAGGTTCGTCCCTGTCGCATATTAACAGTGCCTCCCTTCACGGCTGAGTCCAGTGCGTGGCTGTGTGACGATCCTTTCAAGCCCCAGAGGACATTTGGGTGGTTTCCAATTTTGTTGATGATTGTGAAAATTTGCTTGAACCCGGGAGTAAGAGGCTGCAGCGAGCTGAGATTGCACCACTGCACTCCAGCCTGGGCGACAGAGCAAGACCCAGTCTCAAAAAAAAAAAAAAAAAAAAAAAAAAGAATTGCGCTATAAAAAACATTTGTGTATAAGATGTTGTGTGAACATAATTTTGCCTTCTAGGAGTGGAATTTCTGTGTTATAAGAAGGTGCGGGTCTAACTTTATAGTAAACTGTAGAGCTGGGTTCCTGAGCAACCGTATTGTTCTCCACATCCACCAGCGACGGGTGAACGTTCCAGCTACCCGAGCCTTCATCAGCACTTGGCACTGTCAACAGCTTTCTTTTAAATTCTGTTAAGTCCTGGCTTCTTTAATTTTATCTAAATTTTGCTTGAAAACTAAGGTTAAGAAACGAAACCCTCTCTTGTCCTCCTTACGCAAAGCCTGCTGGTGTTCCCGCCTGGAGTCGCTACTCGCCGGGGCATCTGCACATTCTCTGCCTCTGTGTCCCCGCAGGCCTCAGCGCTGCATAACCTACTGTTCCTGTCCTCTGAGGCTTTCCCTTCCTCCAGCTTCCGTCAACCCTTGCCTCACTTTCCTTCAAGCCTTTACTGACAGCAGAGGCCCTCAGGCTTAACACAGCATCATTACTTCTTTCCTTTCCAAATCTGCAGGTGTGGCTAGTGGGAAGGGCTGATTCCCTCCCCTACAAGGGGAGTGGGCACAGAGAGCCCAGTTGGGGACTGGAGCACCCAAGACGGCACCCCCATCACGGCGAACTCGGCCTGAGAGCTGGTGCACAGAGCCAGGGCTCCCATGGTCTGGGCTTCCTCACAGCGTGGCACTGGGTTCCCACGGCGAGCGTGCCCAGAAGGCACTGACAGTAGAAGCTGTGTCACCTCTGCCACGAGGCAGTCCCAGTCGCCTGCCAGGGTCAAAGAGAGGGTGCACAGACCCCACCTCCAGCAGAGGGAATGGGACGTATTGTGGCTGTTGTTGGAAAATATCATCTGCCTCAGTGGGGTTGGAGTGTAGGTCTCTACGCCCCCTTCTTGCTTCCCGTCATCCTAAGGAAGTGAGCGGGGAGGGAGTTGGGGTGCCTCTGAACATGGGGCCCACACATGCTCTCCTGGCAGAGCTGCGGTTATGGAACAGACACCAGAAGGTTATGGAATAGACACAGATACACCAACATATCTCCAGGGTCTACAGGAGTGAAAGCGCAGGGCAGGCAGTCAGCGACGAATGCATGGATGGATGGATTTAATAATAGCTTTACGGAGATATAAGTCACATCCCCAAATATTCACCTTTTAAAGCGTACAATTCGGTGTTTTAAGCGTGTTCACAGAGTTGTGCAACCATCAACATTATCTAACTCCGGAACATTTCATCACTGCACCAAGATGCCCTGCACCCATGACAGTCGCTCCCACCTCGCCTTCCCCCAGCCCCTGGAACCACTAGTCCATTTTCTGTCTCTACAGATGGGTCCATTCCAGGCATTTCTTATAAAAGAATCACAAAACACGTCTGATTGACGGCCAAGCGAGACCCACCGTGTGGTCAGCCCATGTTGATTTACCTACTCATCAGCCAGGTGACATTCAGGCTGGTTCACTTTTGGACTATTAGGAGCAATGTTGCCGTGAACCCTTGTATGCTTGTCTTTATGTGGACACGTGCTTTCATTTCTCTTGGGTAGATACCTAGGTAATGGAATTGCTGGGTCTTCTGCTAATTCCATGGTTAACTTTTTGATGAACCGCCAAACTGTTTTCCAAAGTAGCTGTGCCATTTTTCCATTTTCCATTCCCACCCACAGTGTGTGAGGATTCCAAGTTCTCCACGACTTGTCGTTTTCTGGTTTCATTTGTTTGTTTGCTTTTTGTTTTTGATGCAGTCAGCACTGTGGCTTTGGTTTGCACTTTCCTGGGTGTCTGGGAAAATCTTGAGCATCTTCTCCTGGGCTCGTTGTCTTTTGTGATGAAATAAAATTCAAATCCTTTGCCCATTTTTAAATTGGATCATCCTTTAATTGCTGGGTTGTAGGAATTCTTCTTACATTCTGGATTCAATTCTTCTGATTATTTTGCGAAAGTCTTATGCTGCCACCCAGGCTAGAGTGCAGTGGCACAATCAGAGGATGATCTGGCCCCACACACGTGTGTGTGCGTGACTCTAGTTCCCCAACTCTGCCTAAAGGGCACTTTCCCGACAGCTCTTGCAGGGGGTGTGGCTAAGTTTGGGAGCGTCCATCACAACTGCCATACGATACAGAAGGAGTCAGCTCTTGATGCATGGAGGAGGAAAGTGAATGACAGCAGGGACCCGTGGGCATGACCCGCTTAGGCATAAAGTGGATAAAGGCTTTCTAAAACACAGCCGACGCCCTGCCCATTACCAGGGCCGGGACTGTTTCCATTTTCTCCCTGGGCCTTTTGGCTTGTTCCTGCCTCAGGACCCTGGCACTTGTTGTTTTTGTTTGTTTTTTACCTAAAATGTTCATCCCCTCCTGAGGTCTCAGCACATCACCTCCTCTGAGAAGCCTTCCCTGACTGCCCTAATGGCGCCCCCGGCCTCCCTGTAGGGAACCCTGTATCCACCCCTTTCCATCAGTTCTGGAGAAGAGGACCTCGTGTTGGCCTGGTGCCACTGTCTCTCCAGCACCTGGAATGGAGCCTGGCAGAGGTGCTCGGCAAACCCCTCCTGTCGGCAAACACTGCACGAAGATGTGCAAGGTGCCTGGATGGTGCCTCTGTGGCTCCTGGGCCTGCCCCGTGACCCTACCTGTCACTTGGGCTGAGTCCCCCTTGGGGTTCCAGGAGCCCACGCTGCCACTCAGCACGTGGCCAGGGTTGCCCCTGCCTGATCTGAAGACTGTGAGGACAAGAGTCGGTGGGCCAGCACCCTGCCTCTGGGGCTCCACTTCCTTTCTGTGAGGTCAACCAGGTGACCGAGGGAAGGGGAGGCCCTGGAGTGGGGTGGGGTCCTCACTACAGAAGGAATCCAAGAGCAGACGCGTGGGAATCTCCAACCACACTGCAGCCTCTGGGGTGGGTCTTGGCACAGTGCTGAGTGAACACTCCAATCCCAAAGGTCCCACACTGGACGACTCCTGCAGGTAGCATTCTCGAGGCAGCCACGTTGCAGATGGGGACTGGCTCAGTGCGCACAGGGGCAGGGATGCCTGGGAGGGTGGTGGGCATGGCATGAGGGGTTCCAGGTTCCAGGGAGCAGCTCTGCAGCCTGATCACCTGCACGCGTAGTAAACGGCAAAGCACTAGACACACCTGCCCACGCGGCTCACGGTGCGACCCTCATTGTGGTCACACAAGATGCAGCCACTGGGGAGGGGTGTGTGGCTGGGTGCCCCGGGAATGCCCCGCACAGGCCTCCTAGGGCTGCCTCTTTGTCCTGTGCACACCCTGAGTGCCCAGCCCCGGTCACCTGTCCGACACCCCTCCTGTTGTTCCCAGCACCTCTGGAGACCTGACCTGGGTCACTCGAGGCCCAGCCCTTGCTGAAGGGCCAAAGCCTGGATCAGCAGAGGGTAGAGAGGAGCTTCCCACCAGAGCAGAAACCCGCCCTCACATCCGACACTTCTGACGTCAGTCCTGCCCGGCCTGGTCACCGCATGGTCAGATCTGGACGTTCAGAGAAGGGTAACAGACTCCCCCAATCTTACAGGATGCGAGGGGTCAATGGCCTTCCCAGTACCCTGGCCTCGTGCTCGCTGTTTTCACCACCACCATCCCAGGGCCCCTCCATCCCATGGGGCAGCTCAAACTGCCTTTTCCTTGGTGCCCAAACCTCCCAGCCTTCTCCTGACCTCAGAGCATCACCCGGGGACACTGACCAGGATGAGGGCCTGTATCTCCCCTCATTCCCATGGGGCTCTCCCACTGGGGTCTGTGCCACCAGCAGCCCCCAGAGCCGCTCCACAGGCCTTGGAACCACGCAGCTGCCACCCGTGACCCACCACCCTCCTGGGATGAGGCATGGCTGTCCGAGGGCCTTGCAAACGAGAGGGCCTGTGCTGGCTCCCGTGCACCCGTGCACGCGTGCATACACATACACATACACACACACACACACATTTCAGTGTTAACAGCAGCTGCCGGCCACTTCTGTCCTCAGTCCCAATGTGCAAAGACAGAGCTCAGGTCATTCACGGAAGTGTCGGGGGCGGGGACCCAGGCTTGAAGCCTGAGGCTGAACTGGAGGCGGGAGCCGGTCTCCGTTGGAGCACACAGTCCCAAAGACCATACCAAGGATGGCGAGACCACCAAACTCTGCAAACTCATAGAAATAAAGCACACGGTATGGGGACACAGGCTTAAATACAAAATATATTTAGATATGCACAGCTTTCACTGAGGACACACAAGCCTTCCTTGGGTTGCAGGCCCGCACCCTCCCAGTGGGATTCAGCCCCTCAGAGCTTGCCCTCACGCATACCACACACGATCAGGTATAAAATACATTCTATAAATATCTTCTGATGCAAAATATGTGTCCATAAATATATATTTGTGCAAGTTCCTCCCACCCACTGAAGGGCTGTACAGCTCGGGACAGGAGTTCACAGCTGACTTTAAACCACAGGTTAACTAGAAGGTTGCAGGTCAAATAGAAGTTTCCATGTGATTGCATCACCCAAGGGCACCGTTCTGTCATCAGGAAATGCTGAGTGCCTGCTGTGGCCGGGTGGGCGTGGGCGGTGGTCAGATGCTGCTCTGGAGCTGGCTATCTGTGGCACTGCCAGGGGCCGAGGACTGGCTGGGCAGACAAGCTTCCAGGCCATCTGAAGACTCCGACAGGGGCTTGTATAAACAGCAGGCTGTGGCAAAGAAGAGGACGCCCAGCACCTGGGGAGAGAGGAGCCCACTGGACCTTGCTGGAAGCCCGGCCAGACCTCTGGACGCTGGTGGCCTGTCCCTGCCCTAGCCTGCAGCGCCCTCGCCAGGCCACGGAAACCCATCCTGCTCTGACAGCGTCTCCCCGGTATAACCGGTTTGTAGCGTAGACACCAACACTGTTAAAGAGGGAATGAAGCACACCCTTTGAAAACAGGGGCACAGGACTGGGGGGCTTGTCATGGGTTGGATGTTGCCAGACACCTGTGAATGGGAACTTTCTTGGAAACAGGGCCTTTGCAAATGTAATTAAGGATTTGAGATGTCATCCTGGATCTAAGGTGGGTCCTAAATCCAATGACTGGTGTCCTCACGAGAGAAAGGAGAGGAAGGCGAGGCAGGGACAGAGAGAAAGGCCAACGCAGCTGCAGACAGAGCCAGAGCGCGGAAGGAGCCAGCCCTGCCCCCACCTTGATTCAGACTTCTGGCGTCAGACCTGTGAGTGAGTCTGGCTCTGCTATGCTAGGCCACCCCATTTGCGGTCGTTTGTCGTGGCGGCCACAGAAACCTCACACAGAGCCAGTTGCTGGTTGCCAGTCGCCACCACAGCCCGGATTCAAGCCCGGGTGCCGCCATCATGGGCAGTTCTTAACCTTCAGGGTCTTGGTTTGTCAACGAGGGGCCGCACCGACTTTGCAGGGCGAGAGGACGATGTGGCAGGAATCCCGCGTGGGCCCCAAAGGCGGTACGGTCCAAGCGCAGATGCTGCCGCAGTGCCCACGCACAGTACATGTGCCCACTACGGTTTCCACGCTGGGCGTGGGCCAGGAACACCCACTGTGCCTCCTGGAGCGTCAGCCTGGCTGATGGCCCCGAGCCTGCATTCAGGGAGTGCGGCTGTTCTGACTCGGTGCGGGACAAAGTGGAACGTGAGGGTGTTCATAAGGAGACACTGTGCTCCCCCCGCTAAAATTAACACGGACGCAGGCGCTGCTGAGGCCAACTCTGACCCCCTGGACACGGCTCCCCCTGGCTGTGCTGAGCCCGGGGGATGGTTACGTGTGGAGGGCTCTCAGCCTGCTGCTCCCGGACAAGGGATGCATCCAACAGACACACCCTGGGAACGTACAGCAGCCCCGTCATCGCAGACACTGAGACCCCTGTGGACGCGTGAGTCGAGGGTGGTCCTCAGCCCAGCCAAGGAACCACACATTCTCATGAAGGAAGCGCCTCCGGCTTCCCGCTGGCAGAGCCGAACGGCAGCGTCAGTGGTCCGGTGCTTTGGGGCCACGGCTAGGTAAATAAGGGTGGCTGGAACACGGCACTGCGATACGGTGATGGGGGATGTGGTAACCACACCGGCTAAGTGATTATCAGGTGGTGGTGTGGACAGCCTGGACGCGATGGACAAAGGTTATGTCTTATGAAGTCATTTGGTCAATTTCCTGATGCACACATGCCTTTGGGCCTCCCCAAACATCGCCACTCCCTGAGCAGAGACACGCCTGACAGACAGTCGTCCGTTATTTGATGCCAAAGTGAAAGGCGTATCACACAGGGCTTGGGCCTTAGGATCCAGTATCCCCAAAGCTCCCTGCAGAATAATTGCTGACCTTGCCTTCTTCCAAAGTTGGACAAAGGGAGAATGCGAGTCCTGGGCAGGACAGATCAAGATTTCACCAGACTGTGCAGAATGGCACATGCTTTAAAAGTTATGAACTGTTTGCTTCTGGAATTTCCTATTTAATATATTCAGACTGTGGTTGACCTCGGGTAACTGAAACCGTGGAAAGTGAAACCTCAGATGAGGGGGAAACCAAGGTATATTTCTCTTTAAATTAACCCACTCTGCTTCTCTCCAGGGCCACGCAAGGCCCTGCTCAGACTCACCTATTTTCTGTTAATCCCAGGGGAGGTGAACCAGCTGGGCTCCTTCCCTTTCTCTAACCTCCCTCCCGGAAAGCCTGAGGCCAGGGGTTCCTGCAGGATCAACTTTCTTGGGTCTGTCACCCAAGGAAGAGCGTGAAGATCCTCTGAACAGCTGGCCCTGGGACCGCATTCTATTTAGAAGGTTTTGTGCTTTATCCTCTAACGGGGGCAAATTCCAAACACAAATACTGCGCTTCCTCCCAGGTAGCATATGCCAGAAGTCACAACAGAAAGTTTGTTAGCTTGAAAAATGAGGGCCAGGCTAAGAGATCCAATGGAATTCAAGGTGCACTGAGCATGGAGAGGCTACAACCTACCCGCTGGTCCCCCAGACCAAGGCCCGGAGCGGACCAGCTAATCCAGCCGCTCTAATGAAAGGAGCTGCTTATTTCTGCAAAGCTTTTGGTTAACAGGCACCCCAGGCACACGCAAGACCACACTGCGGAGGGGCAGCCCCGGGAGGCGGGAGAGGGAGCAGCACCTGCGCCTGGGCTTTGCAGGAGCTGCTGGGGACCTGGACAGTGAACCCCAGGGGGAGGCCCTGCGGTCGGCCTGCCTCCCTCCACAACCAGCTCATGAGGAGTCGGGGAAGGGCCCCTTCTAGAAACTGGCTGTGAGGACATCTGTGATGTACTGGGCTGTGGTCCAAGCTGCGGAAAGATGACGGAGTATCTGGAGCCCCCAGCCACCCTCAGAGCAGACCCTCCGTCCCTCCCCTGGGCCTGCTCACCTTGTACAGGAGCCCCATGATGAGGATGTAGTGGCTCATGGCCGAGTTCTGGTACACCAAGCAGGAGCCCTGCTGGCCACACTGGTCCTGCCACAGCAGACAGGCCTTGTCGATCACCCAGCCGAAGGCGATGGGCCCCGGGATGCCCCCTGTGGAGAGAAGCCCACTCAGCACCCACATTCCCGGTGGGCAGGGGGCAAGGCAGGGGGCGGGCAGCCCAGAGGCCTGGAATACTGGCCGTTGGAGTTCTCAGCGGGTGCAAAGGGGCTTAAATGTTCCTTTCTTTGGAGATTCGGCATTGGGGCTGGGAGTTTCCCATGGTCTCCCAGGGAAAGCCTTTGGGCAAATAAATGACGATGGGCCCCTCTAGTGGACAGTTAGGGAATGGAACCCTTCCCAGGCAGGCACAGCCTCCTGCTGGGAAGCACATCCACTTGGTGGTTAGACACTTGCCCATGCCCTTGTGCAGTGAGCACACTGCACAACTGACCATGGCTTCCTCACACTGCACAGTACCTAGTATTCTAACTACAATCCACTGGATTCCCAGGGCAAAGGATCTCTGAGGGTCACAGACACATCTGCAATAGAAAACCGCAGCGTCAGCACCACAGAAGTGGGGTTGCATGCCAAGTCACCCCCCAGGCCAGCGGCCTCCTGGCCCCGCCCCCAGCCACATCGTCACCTCCCCAAGCGAGAAGCCCCTCATCAGAGGTCAGAGACAGTGGGGTCTCTCCCGCCACCAGTGACAGGCCCGCTTAGCAGGGGCCTGGGTGTTTCCCGGAGCGCTCCCGTCTCAGGATCCGCAGAGCTCTGCTCGGGGTGCTGCAAGGAAAGCGTTGGACAAGCGCACACCCGGCCCCGCTTACCGTAGAGTTGCCGTTAGTGCAGGAATGCTGCTGAGGAATGTAAAGAAAATTACAACGAATATGAAAACCAGAAGGAGGGGCTTTCTCTGACAAGTTGAAGTGCATTTCCCTGCAGTGGCATGGCCAAAACCAGAGGAAACATTCTGAGGGATACAGCTACAGTCTCGGTACACCTGGGAAGCCCAACAATAGCGCCGATTACAAGGGGAAGGCACGGGGGCCCCTTCCCAGGGTCCAGGGGAGGACGGGGCAGTAGGCAGCGGCCTCACTCACCTTCTGGCCATCCACATTCATCTCAGTGGCTGCAGGGCACCCCGCATGGCACAGCGAGAAGTACATGAGGCCGTCTGAGCCACACACAGGGCTGTAGTGCTCCGGCTGGCAGCCGCAGGCAGTGTTGCAGGGTGCCGTTAGGTTCAGGTGGCCTTCGGGCAGGAGGCTGCAGAAGGCGGACAAGCGGGTGGTGGGGCCCAGGCCAGAGCCATGCTGGAGCCCGGCAGGCACAGGGTCAGCCTTGAGGCTCATCCCCATGCAGCCTGCATTTTGGGTCTACAAACTTGCCAAGCTTGCACCACCCCCAGCACGCTGGGCACTCACGCTAGGCACTGCCTTCTGGTGATAAAATGGTTTTTCCTTCTCACGCAAGGAAGGTACCTCTGTGCCCCCCAGCACCGTCTGCCTGACACACAGCCCCTTTCCCTAGTTCATTTGTTTCTGGACAGGCAACACATTCACGCGGATCAAATGCAAACATTAAGAGCAAGCGAGCGCCAGGTACACAAAGGCGGCCTCGCAGCCCCAGCCCCACCCCAGTCCTCGGTTCTCCAGCCACAGGCTGGCCGTGTGTTTGCAGGAGTCATCTGCACGTACACGTTCCCCGCCGGTCACAAACGTCTGCACTTCTCCCTTGAATCAGAGCACACCATGCCCATTGTCCAACTCCTTCCTTTTCCCCCTTCACGGTGTGTCTTGGCAGTGGCCCAGGATGAGCTTCCTCCATTCCTTTGCGGGCAGGGCCTCTATCGTGAGGACAGCATAGTAACTCCGTCCACCCTGATGACTCTTAGGTTGTTTCCGATAATGCCACAACGACCACTTTGTGCTTCTCGGTCTTGCACGGCGTCTGTAGGTGCACTCCCGGGGCCCGCAGGGCAGCGCCGAGGTGCAGGCTACCTGCATGTATTTTGGATATTCCCTAATTGCCACCTGACCAGCAGGTCCCCCTCCCACTTCCAGCACACGGCAACGCTGGGAGCGCATCCTGGGACACTACATCACTGACAGAGACCAGCCTTGAGGACCCCGAACACTGGGGCTGCTGTTCCATTTGACAGAGCAGAGGGCTGAGGCCCAGAGACACATATGACTGCCCAGGGGCACAGCCGGGACCTGAGCGCAGATGCTTCTGACGGCTGGCATGGCACACTTTCACGTGGATGCTGCCCTTGCTGCTGTCCTGCGACGTAGCCCTTTCCAAAAACCACCTCCCCCAAGTGCTGCACCCTTCCTCCTCCAACCAGGGACCACAGGTGCTCAGGGCCCCGACTCAAATCCAGGTGCCACCTGGCCCTCACCTCCTGCTGTAGCTGGCTGTGACGCCCGCCATGGGCACACCGGGGCAGTGGAGGGAGAAGACGAGGATGCCCAGCAGGCTGACGACGGTGCAGAACAGGCAGAACTTGATGACCGCGGAGCCCCGGAGCCTGAGCTTGTTCACAAAGAAGCCACCCAGGAAGGTGCCGCCACCGCCTGCTGGCACCACCAGATACCCTGGGGAGAGGGAGGGACTCAGCCAGGGACTCAGGCAGGAGATGGTGGTGGGAGAGGGTGGCACATCAGCCGGGTCCACTTTACAGGTGGGGAAACTGAGGCACAGAGGTATCAATTCCTGCCTGCATGGCAGCACTTGACCCCACACCTGAGCGCTCAGCTGCTGCTGGAGTCCCAGGAGGGACCTCTGTCCAGGGTCCGCAGCGAGGACGCCTCAGAGGCCAAAAGACGCAGGGCATGGGCAGGGCTGCGGGAAGAGGAGAGTCCAGAATGCTCCAAGGTCAGCAGCCCATATCCCAGCGGAAAGCCAATGACTCCTCCAGTGCCCGCCCAGGGCAGCTACACCCCCTCCTGCCGCAGGGGCCTCTGCCGAGTCCCCACAGGCTGTGACACGGACATTTGTCGAAGCCTGAGTGGCCACCATCAGTACAAAATTAGGATTAGCTGACACCCCTCTTCCGGGCCAAGTGGGGAGGGGAAAGGACAGGAGGGGACAGGTTTGGGGGGACTGGTGGGGAGGTTCTCCAAGGGGCAGTACAGCTGACCTCTGGGGGTCTGCTGAGTGTGGGAGTGTGGGCTTGTGAGGTCAGCCTGGAGGGGCCAGGCCTGGAGGGGCCTGTGGGGAAGGGAGGGGAGCCCTCATCTGACACCCTCTTCTTATCTAGATGATAGGCCCTGGAAGTGCAGAGCATGGTAGATTGGCCGCGGTGGCCCACGTGCCATGGCCCAGGGTACCTGTGAATGCTGGCAGGAGGAGCAGCTGAGGAGGGGTCCCCACTTTCTGCAGACCAGCCCAGCCTAAGAAGGCCAGCCTGCCCCTGGTACCGAGAAACCCCCAGCTGCACTGTCCCAGGAGGTCCTGAGGCACCAGCACCCGCTCACAGAACCACCAGGTCCAAACCCTTCCTGCACCAACTCACAGAGGCCAAGGCCGGTTGGCGAGTGGATGGAGCCTACCCCGGACCCTAGAAAGCATGTCCCACAAAGAGGGTGGGACCTCCATCCCCCAGGCCTGTGGACAGGGTCGCTCAGCCCCCGTGGTGCTCTCCACACCTGCTCTGGCTGGTAGGGGGAGGGCGGCACTCGCTGCCAGGTACCCTGTCCGGGTCTTCCTAGAAGATGTCCTCAAGGATTCTTTGCTTCTCTGAGAACTGACACAAAAGCAGAGGACCCCCAAGATCCAGAGTTTTCTCACCAAACAAGGTGGCAGCTTCCGAGGCACTCAGGCTGAACTGGGACTCCAAGAACTTGGGGCTAAACGTGGACATGCCGGTGATGAGTGTGGCCTCAGTGGCTCCAGCCAGGCACAGCAGGATGAACGTGGGGTTCTTCAGGAGGAGCCAGATGGAGCTGGGCAGAGGTGAGGGTGTGGAGAAGAGACCGAGGGTCAGAGTGGGCCAGACCCAGGGTGCGAGGAGCCTGCTGTTCCTGAGGCTGTCACCTCCCCGCTCTGAGCACAAAGGGCCCCAATTTTGACAGGCAGTAGAGTGGGGTACAGGCAGGTGGGGGATACCCATATTTATTCCAGAGAAACCCAGAGGGTGTCAGGCTGAGCCTGTGGCCCACTTGTCTAGAAAGCTGCAGCCCCTGATTAGGGAAAAACCTTATCAGTGCCTTGGCCAGAGCTTCAGCTCAGGTGGGCAGACCCCCCAAGTAACCCAGGACCCTGTTCTATCACGGGCCAGCAGCAGGGCCTGAAAAAGGGAACTGCCTGGGGGAGGCAGAAGCCAAGTCCAGGACTGGATAGGCCCCGGAATAGGGAACGGAGTCACCAAGAGGTGCAGCCAGTCCTTAACCACCAGCCCCCGGGAGAAGTGGGATTGGAATCCTCCATCCAAGGAGCCCCTGGGTGGACCCAGCTGGCTTGGTTTGCACTTGGGGGCCACCGAGTCCTCAACCAGGGCGATTCCTTGGTGCATGCACCTGGGGCCCTGGGGGGAACTGTGGGAACTCTGAGCCCTGTCTGGCCCTGAGGACTCAGCCTTTATATCTGCCTGTTGCAGTCCTGGCTGTGGGGTCTCAGGACGAGGACACGCCCCTCTGGAAGCTGGGAAGGCCTCAAGTCAGGCCTTGCAGTTTCTAACCCAGGTGGTGGCTGACAGCAGTGCGTCGGGGCTCCCCATCCCTGCACACGGGGCCCTGGTGGGTGGATGGGGGTCCTCCCCGTTTTTGTTAGCATTGGAGGGCCGAGCAGGGCTAACTCCCAACTGCTGCTTAAGCACGCAAGATGCTGAGATGGAAAACGTGTTGCGTGGCGTAAACCAAGCGAAGCCCTCCTGGCCAGTGCAGTGAGCGAGGCAGACAAGAGAAGCGGAGCTGCCTCTGCAAAGAGAGGCTCGGCTCTCTCTGGGGTACACAGGTCACCAGACTGGGCAACGCTCACATCATCATCCCAGCTCACAGCTACACCCTGTTCACAGCACGCTCCTGTGCGTGACCCTTCTCCCCCGGGGGGGGGGGTGCTCTTGGCCTCAGGGTGTTTGAGATGCAGCTATTGTCCTATCCCCAGAACTCGTAACACGGACCGGGGGCAGAGACTTTTCCTGAAGCCCTAGGTCATGGCACAACAGCCTCTCACATCAGCCCACGATAATGCAAATTTTCGCAATAAATGATGCGTCTGCCACACAGGAGGGGCACCAGGCACGTCGCTCTGCTCACACACCAGTGTCGCTGACTTGAACCCCTGCGTCTGCAGCTTAGCGACGTCCTGTAAACCTGTGCTTTCCAGCCTCCCGCCAGAGCGGAGCGCTGGCCTCACGTCACCCCACCGGCTCTTTCCTCCCAGCCACACCCAGAGCCTGGTTCCCATGAACGCAACTCTGAACGCCTGGAACATTCAAATGCTCTCGTTCGAGGATGTACCCAAATGTAAATGGATTCTGAAGAATTAGGAACGGGCGATGCAGCCCTCGTTAGCCTGAGCCCCGACAGGCCCACAGGTGCCTTGCAGAGCTGATGTTAGCGACAGAAACCCCACTCCAGCCTCACACTCTGCCTGCTTGGAGGTGTTCACTGGCTTGGACTGACCTCGGCAGCCATGAACACGGTTTTTTGTTCCCTTCCCTGATTAAAATGGGACAGCCCAATTCTTTCAAAATTATTTCCCGACCTGAGGATTCCAAAGCCTTTCCTCCTGGGCAACTTGGGTCCCACGTCTTGAAAAAGGCAAAGATGACTAAAGGCAAAGATGACTGAGGGCAAAGGAGACCCCAGCCCATACCTCCCCTCCAGCCAGTCCAGGGCTGGGGTAGACACCCTGTGGGGGGAGTCCTGGTGTGCGGGGGGAGTCCTGGTGTGTGGGGGGAGAGCTGAGGTGGGCACCGAGGGGTGGTCCTGGCATATGGAAGTGACAGCTGGGGTGGGCACCCTGGGGGTCCTGGTGTGTGGGGCAAGTCTGGGGTAGACACCCTGGGGGGGGTCCTGGTCCTGGCGTGTGGGGGGGCAGAGCTGGGGTGGGTCCTGGCATATGGAAGTGAGAGCTGGGGTAGACACCTGGGGGGGATCCTTGCATGTGGGGGGACAGAGCTGGGGTAGACACCCTGGAGGAGTCCCTTCCTGGGGCTTTTCCCAGACCTGCCCAGGCTCCGGGGTGCGTGGCTGCATTAGGAGGCCATGACTCTCCGAAGTGCTATGCAAACCATTTCTTAATCATGGATTGCTCGGCTGATATTCTCATGTTGAATTTGCCCAGAGAATTAGTCATGACTTTAAATAAAGGAAACATGTCCCACAATTTCTTACCAGCAACTGGTTTAGGGAACTAACCCTGGACATAAGCCTCTTTGTCACCCGATGAACTAAAAGTGCCCCAGGGTTCCCAGGTCCGCACTGGGGCTCACAGCCACGCTGGGAACAGGGCGCCTGGCCCTCAGCTCTAAGCCGTTCTGCTGCCAGGTGGGGGAGAGAGGGTGAGCCGGCGCCTGCACGATGTTCCCAACTCCTGGTGAACGTGGCCCCAGGTCAGTTCGGCCCATGGGGTCACCCTCCCTAGCAGGCAGCTCCCAGCTCCTTCGGGAGTCTATCAGGGCCCTAATGAGGCCCCCCCTTCCCATCTTCATCCAGCCCTGCTCCTCTCTGCTGTGGACAGCTCGGGGCTTTCAGAGGGGCCACCGTTGGCCCTGATGCCTTCCTCCTGTCCTGGTTGAGGACAGGCAGCAGGGACACACCCACTGCCCACATCCTCCACCCACTATGGCCAGTGAGACGCAGCCATTCGTAAGCTCAGGGACCTGCTGCTAAAGGGGCACAAGAGTCTCCCTGTTCTACGGCCTCAGAGGCTGAGGACTTGGGTGGTGACCACACTGAGGGCTACCTGTGCCCAGCGCTGGGGAGAGCCCCGCTGGGGAGAGCCCCGCTGGGGAGAGCCCCCCGGGGAAGGCATGATCCCCAGGAGAGACCTGGAGGGCCTGGGCCCCTACGTTGTCCCTATAGGACCCCACCAGGCCAGGACTCCGTGTTCACCCTAGCAGTGCAGCAAGACAGCAAAGCAAGGCCGGACCACACTCAGCAGAAAGAAGGGAAGGCAGCCAAGGCAGACGATAAAGCAAGCAGCCTTCCCAGAAGGTGAGCAGGACACGCAGGGTGGAGAGGGGAGGTCCTCAGAAACTGAGGGAGGGAGACAGAGGGCAGCATCCTAGAGCCCGGGGATGGGGGGATGGCCCAGGTGACACCTGACGAAAGGGAACTGGAGCGTGGGGGTCACGGTGAGGGAAGGGTCTCAAGTCGAATGCAGCCTCTGTGGGGACCCCGGGACACACAGGCCATGGGGAGACTTGCTGGTATGGAAGGGATTTGCTGTGGCCATTGGAAGCCAGGCGCAGCCTGTAGGAGCCTCCCTACTGTGAGTGACGGGTCCCCGGGTGCAGGCCGAGGCTCTGGCCCGGCTTGGGGACTCACCCACGGCTCTGCAGCCCTGAGACGGGGTCTGCGGCCTCTGGCCCTGGAGGCTCTAGCTGTTGCTCCTTAATCTCTTGGCCCAGGTCTCAGGGGTTGGTGGGCCACAAGGGAGGTTTGGGGCTTCATCCCCATCATGATCCTGGAAGGGTCTCACCGACTCCCCGAGATGGGGGCCCTTAAAGGGTTTGAGGACACTAGGAACCCTCCTGCCCTCGGTCCTTACAGAGGCAGGTCTCTGATGGTTTTCCCGAAGTCTGGGTTGCTCGCCTTCCCGTGGCTGCCGTCCTTCAACTGGTGCATTTCCGCCGCTCTCATGACCGCGTAGCGCTGGGAGCCTGGAAGGGCACAGTCAGCTGGGGCTGGGAGCTCCTGGAGGTGGACTTCTGAGGGAGGCTCTGCCCCCACTCCTTTGCCCCTCCCCGGTCTGGGAACGTCATCGTCTGACATCCCTGCAGCCCCAGGGAGGTGGCGCTGGAACAGAAGCCGCATGAAAATGCTCCACAAGCCGGGCTGGAGGTGTGGGAGAGCTGGGGCCCCAAGTGCGGCTGGGGGAAGGAAGGGACGGAGGCCCTGCCCCGATTGGGACACAAGCCGGTTCTGTGGCTTGAAGGGGAGAAGCCGCTGGGGCAGAGGGGAGGCCACAGGACAGGCTGGACACACAACCTGCCTCGTGCCACAGCCAGGAGGCATCTCTCCACCCAGATGGGAAGATGCAGATCAAAGACAGAATGAGGGTGTGCCGCAGACTTGACCATGGCGGGGAAAAACAGAGGAAATGGGGTGCCCCCTTCACGAAGACTAAGGGACAATCCTCCCGATGTGAAGGCCGGGCTGGGGACGGGGAACCCACCTGGCAGCTGCCGAGGGTAACCAAGGATGGGAACGGCGGTGAAGAAGGCAGCAGCCCCGGAGCCCAGGAAGCCGACCCACCAGGCACCGACCCACAGCGGGCTCTCGGTAGTCAGCTCCGTCCTGTGGAAGAGGCAGTGGCACCTAGGTCAGCGTGGAACCCACCTGTGCCCTCCATGGCACACATACTGGGGGGGGGGGGGCCCGGCCCCTCCTCCGGGCAGACCTCCAGGGTCTGTCTGCACACTGGTCAACACAGGCCCCTGGCGCTGCTGGCCGCAGGTCCTGTCCCTTCCTTGCAGACTAAAGCAAACACCACCTTGGCTTCGCTGTCTAAGACGGATGGCTCCGTGCCTCGGCCCACGCTCCAGGTCTGGAGATGCTACCTGTGGCCTGGTCCTGAGACCACGGTGGGGTTGGGCGCTAGGAGGGGCAGGCTCTCCAGGCAACTGCGGGCCGAGGCATCCCTCCTCACAGCAGAGGGTGACGGATGGGGTTCCCAGGGATGCCCGAGGGCTCAGCTGGAGCTCACCGAGAGCTCCCCACAAAGGGGCTGCTGTGCACGCGGCAATTTGCATGTAAGTGTGCTTTCAAATGAAAAGGTGAGTGGAAAAGAATCATGGGCTGAGGCGGCCGTGACGAGCAGGAGAAGCCCACCCAAGCTCTGGGCTTCCAGGGGATGCGTCTTCACAGTGAGGAGGAGGTGGGAGGGCAAAAGGCCAGCAAAGGCCGGGAGCAGAGCCGCAGAGACAGAGGACACAGGGAGCGCCAACACCTTGCAAGGCTGCAGCCAGGCGGTACCTGCTTGTTCTAGCAGGGAAACGCTGACACCGCACACAGGGCCAGACCCCGCTCTGCCTCCCCACTTTGTGCAAAGTGGGCCCAGATCCCAGAGCCAGATGGGGCAGAGAGACTGAGAAGCATCCAGACCCAGCACACGAGCCCCAAACCTACCTCCAGGCTCTGCCTAGAACACGCACGATTGACCCCACATTATCAACCCGAGGCCAGAGGGGCTTTTGTAAGAGGCCAGAGTGCTAGAGACCTCCAGGAGAGGCACCATCTGCAGAAAGTCCCAAGGTGCAGCGGTGCCCACACCACGTCACAGTCGACCTTGGAAACTTCACAAGTGCAGGCTGGGCACAGGACGAATGGGGGACCCTGCACCCATAGAGCCCTGACAGGTCAGCAAGGACATGCTTTCTCCTCTCCCTCCCCTTCTCCCTCTGTCTCTGTCACTGTCTGTCTTCTCTGTATCTCTCTTTCTCTCTGCATCTCCATCTCTGTGTCTGTCTCTTGGGCTTTCCCCGTCCGTCTTTCCCTCTGTCTCTCTGCTTCTCCCTCCACCCCCACCTTGCTTTCTCCCGCTTACATTTACAGAAACTAGCGTCACACACACAAGATACAAAGAAAGGAAAACAAAAGAATCTCAGTTCCATTAGGGAACTAGTGGCCAGGGCTCGCTGGACTTTGCAAGCGCTTGGGCCTCGGGCACCGTCCGTCTGCCTCGCCCCCTGCCCTGGGGCGGACTCCCAAGGCCCCCAAGATCCCCTGAGTCCAACAGAGCCAAGGCCAGCCTTGACTCCCTCCAGCCCGGGGGCCCAGCACCGGCACCACACCTGGCCTGACTCAGAGGGGGCCCTGCTGGCTCTGAACCCCCTTCCAGAGACACGCGGGTCTTTCCAGCACAGGCAGTTTGGTGGGCTCCCGTGGGTGTGGCCCCGCGGCAGGCAGCAGGGTGCGTGGCCACTCACCGTCGGCCCACTTCCGTGTAGATGTTCAGCAGGGCACCTCCGATCAGGTAGCCAGCAGCGGGGCCCAGGATGGCTGCGGTGTAGAAGATGGCTGCAAGAGAGGCAGAGGCGTCAGGGCCGCCGCGCACCACCCCGGGGCTGCAGAGGGCCGTGTGGGGCTCCGTGCCTGAGAGAAGCCCTGCACCCGCCGTTGTGCATCTCCGGCCCACTCCCCTCGTGGGCCTCAAGTTAGGCAAGTCCGTGCAGCCACCACTGGGCCTGACGTGGGTCAGCGTCAGCTTTAAAAAACCTCCTCAAAGCCAAGCGCACTGCCGTCTTTCCCTTACAATAGGGCAAAGGTCCTCGAAGCCCGGTTTGGCAGGACGTCTAAGTAGCCGCACAGACCAACCCTGGCAGGAATTAGGGACCCAGGGTGGGGAAAGGGACCAGAGACGCCTGAGCCCCTCCGCCCAGCCACGCTCATGCCCCCGTAGGCTGGGATTTGGAAGGGTCAGGGTGGTGGGACGACCCTCACTGGAGTGAGGTGATCAACGCCTGCCTTGGTTCTTGGGATGAGCAGAGCTCAAAGAGGACATGAGGAGGCTGAGGTCACTGCAGAGTCTGGCTGGGGCCAGCTGCTCCCCTTGACCTTCCCTACGATGCCCTACCCAGGAGAGGAAAGCCAGGCGCAGGGGACACCGAGAAGTGGGGTCGGGCGGGCCATGCACAGGGTCAAATTGTCCCTGTTGGACAGGCCATGGGGCTTCCCTATGTCTCAACAAATAGGAGCCAGAAGCCAGTGAGGGGCCCAGGGCTGCCCCAGGGCAGTGAGCTCAGCTGCCTGGCATAGGGTTGTGACACAGATCTTTATTCTCAGGCGGCTGTGAAGCAGCCATAAGCTGCTTCGTGTTACTTTTCCCCTCAAAGTTCTGACTCTCCGGAGTTGCTCGGTCTCTTCCGCACCCCTGTGTGGCTGCCAGAGCAGACATGGCGCTTACGAGGAGGCATGGGTGTGGCCTCTGGGCTCTGTCCCTCCAGTGTGTGGCTGATGGCGCCAATATGGTGCTTTCAGGGAGACATGGGTGTGGTCTCAGGGCTCTGTCCCTCGTCACTTATCCCACATGAAACTCCTTCCCAGGCAAGTGCCAGGTTCCCAGCTGAAGCATGAGGTCTGCCACCTTTGGACCTGGTGCCACCCAGCGCCTGGTGACTGTGCCCCATTCCAGCACACCCGTCATGGGGGTGGCTCAAAGCCCTGCCTGCCTTGTCTCAAGAGTCTCCTGGCAAGGTGGGCTGGACACCACACAGGGGTTGCACTGAGACTCCTGGGCACAGCGGCCTGGAGCCCTGAGCAGGGTCCGAATGAGAAAGCCGGAGTCCCTTATGTCAGCTTTGGGCCTCAGGCCTGACTCCCCTCCCCTACCGCCTCTCGAAGCAGCCCCGGGGCCATGCAGACAAGGGGAACACGAAGGCAGGGGGTGGGGCTGGCTCCGCCGGTCGCCCTCACTCCTGCAACACTACCCTCGGCCCTCCCTGCCCCGTGCCAACCCGCCCGGCCCCACTCACCAATGTAGACGGGCGAGTAACTGGACTTGACATTCTCATCCAGGTAGGTGACGCCCAGCGTGTAGAGGGGGGTGGCGCCCATGCCATGCAGGAACTGGCCCAGCATGAAGACCAGCTGGTAGCGGTACAGGCCCGAGGTACGGTCCGCACACGCCACGCTGGGGTTGGCAGGGCACGTCCTGACGCCCGTGTCCGCCTCCACCTCGTAGCGGCCAGCTGTGAAGTGGGGCAGGGCGAACACCAGCGACCCCGTGCCCATGACCAGCACGCCCCAGCCCAGCCAGCGTGGCTTGTGCCCTGAGCCCCCGAAGTAGCTCACGAAGGTGAGGCAGAGGCAGGCGGCGATGTCGTAGGAGCTGGCGATGAGCCCGCTCTGGTAGCTGTGCAGGTCATAGCGACGCTCCAGGGAGGTGATGACTGTGTTGATGAAGCCGTTCACGGTCATCCCCTGCAGGAATGCGGCCGCGCACAGGAAGAATAGGATGCCCTTGGGCGTATTGAGGACCTGCAGGCACGGGGGTGCGAAGGCCCACCAGCCGCACGCCACGCTCTGCCCGGCCGAGACGTACCGCACCTCGTGGGTCCCCCGGGCGCCACGCTTCTCGGCCCAGGGCTGGCAGAGGGGCTGTTTGCTGGTGTCCAGGGGACTATGGGCAGCGGAGCGCAGGGAGCCGGGGCTCAGGGGCGTGCTGTGGTCAAGCCCGTTTTCCATGGCTGAATTGGGGCCGGGAAAGGTGAGCGGCTTGTCCCCCAGCGGGTGCAGGGGCATCTCCGCGCCTCCGCCTGGTGACCTCGAGGCTTCAGCCACACAGTGTGAGTGGCCTCCGTGGGAGTGGCCAAGTGGTATCCAAGGGGCTGGTGTGTCCTGTGAGAAGAATGTCTGGTTAGCGAGCTCACGTCTCTCCACGGATACAGCACGACCAGGCGGGAACATTCCAGCACACCCATCATGGGGGTGGCTCAAAGCTCTGCCTGCCTTGTCTCAAGAGTCTCCCAAATCCAGGGTGGCGTCTGGCCAAACCCACACTCAGGCACTGTCTCCCAGCCGCAGTTCCGCTGCGGGAAGTGGGGGCTGTGCCCGGCCTACTCACAGGGACTCGGTTCCTGCCCTTTCTAGAACCGTTGGAAGGAAAAGCTGCCGCTTCAGCAGTGTGGCGTCGGGGCTGTGAAGAAGGCAGGGCCCACCGAGATGGGGCCACACAGTGGAGAGTGGAGCTGAGACGCGGAGGCCGAGTCAGACACTGGGGTCCCAGGTCACCCCGCCCTGCCCCCTCTCGTGTCAGCCATGTCCCCTGCCATTTGCAGCCGAGTGGCCCCGATGGATTCCACAGGGGGTCTCCACGTTGGTCCTGGAGCCTGACCTTGTTCATCCTTAAATTCATGCCCTGGCAGCTTTCTGCACCCTTTGGCGTGAGAAAGGAGCTCCTCTTGATGCAGTTTGGGAGGTGCAGGAATGAGCTGGAAACGGCCTCCCGGGCCACGTGTGCCCCCAGCACTGGAGACGCCCCTGGCTGCCAAGTTCTGGCCGGTGCTGGGTTGGCCTTGGTCTGCGGCAGCTGGTATCGCTGCCTGTGGCTAACAGGAGCTGCAATCGGCAGCCATGTGAACCAGTTACCAGGAAAATGTGCCCACGCGCCACCTTCCTTCTGAACCCTGCACTGCCCCTGCCCCGTTGCCCTCACCAGCCCCGTTTCCCATCATCCCGAGGCTCCGCAGGGCGCCTCCTCACTCCCCACAACAATTCCCGGATAAACAGGTCCCCACCACTGCCCAAGGCCTTCTGGGAAACCCAGGTGACTGCATCCTCTCTGCATCTTAAGGGGTTTCCCCACCAGAAATAAACCAGCAAATAAACAGGGCTGCTGTGATGTGGAACACCGGTGCTGCCCCCACCCTCAGAGGGTCCTTCCCGGGATGCTGTGATACGGAACACCTGTGCTGCCCCCCGCCCTGGGAGGGTCCTTCCCGGGGATGCTGTGATACGGAACCTGGCCCCCCCCTGGGAGGGTCCTTCCCGGGGATGCTGTGATACGGAACACCTGTGCTCCCCCGGCCTGGGCGGGTTCTTCCCGGGGATGCTGTGATACGGAACACCTGTGCTGCCCCCACCCTGGGAGGGTCCTTCCCGGGGATGCTGTGATACGGAACACCTGTGCTGCCCCCCGCCCTGGGAGGGTCCTTCCCGGGGATGCTGTGATACGGAACACCTGTGCTCCCCCGCCCTGGGAGGGTCCTTCCCGGGGATGCTGTGATACGGAACACCTGTGCTGCCCCGCCCTGGAGGGTCCTCCGGGATGCTGTGATACGACACCTTGCTGCCCCCCTGGGCCCCGGGGATGCTGTGATACGGAACACCTGTGCTGTCCCCCGCCCTGGGAGGGTCCTTCCCGGGGATGCTGTGATACGGAACACCTGTGCTGCCCCCCGCCCTGGGAGGGTCCTTCCCGGGGATGCTGTGATACGGAACACCTGTGCTGCCCCCCGCCCTGGGAGGGTCCTTCCCGGGGATGCTGTGATACGGAACACCTGTGCTGCCCCCCGCCCTGGGAGGTCCTTCCGGGGGCTGATCGGCCTGGCCCCCCGCCCTGGGAGGGTCCTTCCCGGGGATGCTGTGATACGGAACACCTGTGCTGCCCCCCGCCCTGGGAGGGTCTTTCCTGCAGACCTCAAGGTGCTTGCCATCTGGGGCACCTCCTGTTATGGCTGAATTGTGACCCCCAAAAGAAGCTGTCTTGGAGCCCTAACCCCCAGTACCTCCGAATGGGACAGTTTTTGAAATTCAGGCCTTTAAAGAGGCGACTAAGGTTAAACAGAGACATTGGGTGGGCCCTGATCCAATGTGACCGGTGTCCATTATTAGAAAGGGGATGTGAACGCCCACGCAGGGAGGGAGAACGCCACGTGGATGTGAAGACCACTCCCCTGCCCGGGAGGGAGGCCGGGAGCAGCTCCTTTCCCCGCAGGCTCCGAGGGCCGGCCTTGCGGACACCATGATCCCTGATTTCCGGTCCTCAGCAGTAAGACAGGGCCTGTTTCTGTCGTCTAAGTCCACAGTCTGGGTCTTTTGTCTTCACTGCGGAGCTGGGGTGGGGTGGGCAGTGGCGTGTCCATATTGGGCCACATTGTATCACATTCAACAGGGACCTGGTGCTTCCGGAAGCTTCTTCAGTCCATGAAACATCGCACCCCGGGAGGCTCCAAAACACAAAGCATGAGAAATGCTGCCCACTGACGTCAGGCTGAGGCTGGGGCCACCTCAGCCGTGCTCGGGGCTCTGCAGAGTTCAAAGCCCCAAGTATTCAGCCATGGGGTCTCCTTCCAGCCACAGCTGGCGATGTGCAGAGATGCATGGAGACGCAGGGACAGCGAGCAGTCCCATGGGGACCTGGGCTAGGTGCTGTCCCAGGATCCTCCTGGCAGCTCCTTACAGAGTCTGTTTGCTGGGCCTGCGCTGGGACTGGGGTGGGTGGACCAGTGCCCCCCACGTTCCCCAGGCAGTCACGTTCACCTGGAACCTGACTGAGCGCGTGACCTTATGTGGAAAAAGCGTCTTTGCAGATGTGATGAGTGACCTGAGAAGAGATCATCCTGGGAACAGGGTGGGCCCTAAACCTGGCGGCAGGTGCATTTAGAGGAGAAGATGACACAGAGAAGGCCACCTGCAGAAGAGACAGACAGGCATGGCGCTCCCAGGACCACCTGGAGCCCCGGGAGCCATCAGGGCAGGAAGGACCCTCCTCAGAGCCCCGGGGGGAGCACAGCCCGTGTGGATTTCGGGTTCCTGGCCTCTGGAGCTGGGGGAATAAAATTCTATGTTTTCAGCCTCTTGGTGTGTGGTCATTTCTTGCAGCAGCCCCCACGGAGGCAAACAGGTGCCACATGTGCCCCCAATTTGGGAGATGACAGAGACCTGGGGAGGGCCCAGAGAGATGACCCTGGGGTTGAGGCAGAGTTAGAGCTTAACAGACACACAAACTGTAAGGTGAGCGTGGTGGGTGGGAGCGGAGGCACAGCCGCTGATCCACCGTGGGGGTGGAAGGGGACACAGGGGTATCAGTGAGAACCAGCCCTGGGACAGGCCTACGCTGACAGACACTGCAGCATTTGGGGATGACAAATTGCTGACTTTTTTTGTTTTTTGTTTTGTTTTTTAAATAAAGGGGTGACTTCATCTGTGAGGGCAGATAAACGGGCCCAGCATGGTCAGGCTGCGAGCAGGCCGTGGGATCTCCCCCAGGTGGAGGCAAGGCTTGTTTTACATCTGGAGAGATCTGGCAGCACCAGCACCCCTTCCCCAAGGCCACACGGATCTCAGAATTGAGCCCCCAAAGCTGGGCTCTGGCTCCTCTCCCCACGTCCTCCACCAAAGCGCGGTCCCCACACAGCTCCTATGTGGAATCGGCGGTCTCACCTCTCAGTGAATGGATGCCCCAGCCCCAGGCTCCTTGGACAAATGCAGGCAGCTGCTGTAAAGAATCCCGCTGGGTGGTGGGGTGCTGACACCCGCTGTGCACACTGAGCGCCAGCTGTGTACCAGGCACTGTCCCAGGCCTCAGAGTAGGGGAAGAAGGCGCGGGGGGGTCAGTCGTTTGCTCAAGGCCACACAGCCCGCCGGTGGCAATGAGGATGCAGCCCCCGCAGTCTGGCTCCAGAGCTGACAGTCTGCTTCACAGCTGCCTTCTGACACCTATTGAAAGAGCCGTGCACACTCGTGTGGCACTCATGTGTGTCCGCTGTTGATCTTGGATGCTGCTGTGAGACTGTTTGAGGCCGAATTTGGAGGCCTCGGACAGCAGAGATTCCACAGCAGTCATTCCTGAGGCCTGCTCCCTGGGTGCCTGAGGCCACATCCGGGGTTTTATTTACAGTGCCAATACCTATGCACGAGCTGGCAGGCCAGGCTGGTTTGGGGCCTGCTGTGTCAGAAAGGGAGTGTGCGTGGAAGGAAGCAGAGACTTTTGTACTGTAAGAGCAATGCTCCACACCTCCCCGAGGGGCAGAGAGCCACCCACTGCCACCCACAAGCCACAGGCTTGCCACTGAAGCGAGCTGTCGCAAGGATGACGTCCCAGGAGCATTTTTAACACAAGAACTCGAATGCCAGGAGTCGAGTGGAAAAGACGAGGAGCAACAGCCCCGGGGTGGGACTGGTGAGGAGGGGCCACGGCTCCACCGCTCAGCAGCCCGGAGTATCTCCACCGGCCGCTGAAACAGAAAGCAACCTCAGAGACCCGGAGTAGTACAGGCCAGGCTCAGAGCTACCCAGACTCCCCAGGCAGCATCTGGGCGTGTTTCCCTCGCGTCGTTTCTCTTACTGCACGCACACAGAGCCAAGAAGTACCCTGAGGGCTGCCTGGAGGTCAAGGTCCACACACACGCACACACATGCACATGCAGACACATAAATAGCAGAAACTTGACCTCATTTCCGGGCTGGGCCAGAACATCAAGGGAAGGAGCCTCAACGGGGCCAAGGAAGGAACAGCCTGATGTGGGCAAGGGAGAGCTCAGACAGAGGTGCCACCTGGCTGCAAATGCTGGGACAGGGGTGGCGGGCTGGGGCGGGTCGGATTTACCAGCACTTCTGCAAAGGATCTGATGAGGTCCTGGGATGCTCAGTGGTGGGCAAACCCATGTAAACCATTGCGGACCAAGACACTGACTGTCGTGAAACACCCACTCAACGCCCGGATACTGGGTTTGCCTTGTACACTCATTGTGTTCAGCCCTGGCCTCAGGACCAGACGCTGGGGTCAAAGCAGGTAAGGGGGAGGTTCCCGTCTGCACAGCTTTGAGAGGAAGCCAGATTGCTAAGCTTCGTGATCAGCAATGGCCACAGAGAAACAGAAGGACTTCCTTCTTGAAAATGAAAGCCGCAACTGAGAAAGAACAGGTAGTTGCAGGGGTCCAAACAGCTCCAAGCTGAAGGCTGTTTTACCTGAATTAAAAGCTCTGACATAAATATGTAAAGCTCAGTCGAAAGTCACCTATTAGATTAAATTTAAATCAGCAAATTTAAAATCCTATTTTAAATATTAGCCATATGGCTTCTAGCAGATGCCCATCAGACAGCTGCACACGATGAGAATTACGCGGCAGCACTCAGCTCACCAGCTGTGCACCTCCAGGGGCTTCCGCTGGGGCCTGGTTCTGACGTCTTTCTGAGATCCAGCAGCGACCTGGCTTCGGGCCAGCTTCCCCTTATCTGAATCTGTACTTGCCCTCACGCAAGTGGCACGCGTGTGACAGTACCCATTCCATCTTCGTCATGCCCTGTACTTGCCCTCACGCAAGCGGCACGCGTGTGACAGGACCCATTCCATCTTCGTCATGCCCTGTACTTGCCCTCACGCAAGCGGCACGCGTGTGACAGGACCCATTCCATCTTCGTCATGCCCAAGAGTTTCAGCTCTGGGTTCTCTTCTGAAGCTGAAAATCTCTGGGAGGCCGTTTCCCCCTTCAACAGTGGCGTCTAGATTGGAAAGGGGAGGGTGGGCGTTCCATGACTCAGGGGCTAAAGGACAACAGAAGCAAATATAAAAGCTGGCTCTGATGGGGCATCTGCCTGGCTCGGGCCGTCACCAGGAGACGGGTGGGTTGCTGAGTGACGCAGGGCAGGCGACACTCCTGAACTCTCAGGGTGATGAGGACAGTCCCACGTTCATGCATTTTCCAAAGGAAGTTTCTGGGATTGTACCAAGACCTCACGTGGATATGTCTTAAGCACTGGAATTTACTTAGCGTGCCGTTCTGAGCTGGTGAGCCAGAGGGATGAGAACTCTGCCTGGAGAAGTGGGTGCCCAACATGTGTGTCAATGCTTGGCCTGGACCTGAAGGAGTCCTTGCTGAATATGCTGTGCAGGACTCACAGTTCAGGGCTAGCGTTTGGCACGAAAACCAGCCCAACGTGGGACATGAAAGCATCTTAGCCGCAGCAGCCGAGTCCAGTGATGTGGACAGCCAGCCAGACGCATGCTTGGTGGAGGCAGCCCGCGGCCCCGTCCTGGTCTCAGTCATCAGTTCCCTCAAGGACAGTGCTGCTGGGGCCCATGAGGACCATCCAGGCCACTCACATGTGGCTTTCCTTCTAGGATCTGCTAGCTTCTGAGATGGCCAAGGCAGATAAGCTCATGGCTCAGTGAGAAGGTGAACGTCACCTCTGTGTTCGCTGCTAATGGTGCCTGGAGTAATGCTGTCTGGTCCGCGTTAAGGCGGGCAGCTCGGCGGCCCACACCTTTGGTTTCTTGGTCTCAGGCCCATTGTGGATAAGCTGGTGTGGGGTGGGGCAAGGGAGTTTCAGGAGCTGGAAGGGCCTCATGGCAGCCCCATGTAGAGGCCGCCTGGCCCCTGGCCTGGCCCCTGGACCGGCCCCGCCAAGGGGAACAGGACATTGCAGCTGGGCTCAGGGAAGCAGGGAGGCCTGTCCTTTTGATTCTTCTTTCTGGCACCCTGTGTGTGCCTGTGTGTGCCTGTGTGTGCCTGCGTGTGCCTGCGTGTGCCTGCGTGTGCCTGTGTGTGCCTGCGTGTGCCTGTGTGTGCACGGCTGCGTAGGTGCGTGTACACAGGCACATGTGCCTACAGTTTCTTTCCACTTGGAATTGGTTTTGAGAAAAAGGTGCGTTAGCTTCCCAAGCTGGTCCCTGCACCAGTGAGGGATGGAGCCTCATCCTCATCCCAGAGCCACACCCTCAGCTTCAGCGGCTTCTTCTGATGCATGGACACAGCCCCCACTACGGGGCTGGGGCGGGAGCTGCAGGCAGCCTTGACCTCAGACCAAATTCAAAGGACCTGCCTCTTCCAAAGGCCTCCTTCCAAGGGCCACGGGGACCTCATGACTGTCCTCTCATCCCAAGCTGGCTGCATGGGTGGGCTGGTGTATAGGCAGATGAGACTGCACCGCTGATGGGGCCAGGCACAGGTGAACCCCAGTGCTGCAGATGAGGAGTTTGCAGGTGGAGTGATGGTGACAGGCAGTTGTGGAAGGCCGGGCAGTGGCAGCCAGGTGGCAGAGGAGGGAGTGGGAGACCCGGGGCAGGGATGGGTCAGCCATGGAGTGCAGGAGACTGCACCTGTGGGAAGGACAGGCCAGCGGCCAGCCCCCAGGCCGCTCTGGCTCCTGTCAGCCTCCCAGCTCCAGTCCACTGTCATCCTCATCTGAACACCCTGACTGCATCTAACACCAGGGCATCTGCTTCCTGTCTTCTGCGGGGCCCACTCTACAGCCTCTTATGCCATGTGCGATGGTCTCAGGGTCAGGGCCAAGAGCACTGTAATGGTGAATTTCGTGTGTCAACCTGAGTGGGCCCTGGGTGCCCAGACATTTGGCCCGGCATCATTCTGGGTGTGCTGTGAGTGTTTCCAGGTGAGATTAGCATGTGAAGGGATGGTCCTCCGCAGGGTGGTGGGCCTCATCCAATCAGGTGGGGGCCTACAAAGAGCCAAAGGCTGAGTGAGAAGGCCTCCTCCGGTGACTGCTGCAGCTGGGACCTTGGTCTTTTCCTGCCTTTGGGCTTGGACTGAAATGCCAGCTCTTCTTGGATCTCCAGCCTTCAGGCTGGAACCTGCAGCAGTGTTTCTCCAGTTCTTGGGCCTTCAGACTCAGACTGGACCGAAACCATCAGCTCTCCTGGGCCTTCAGTTTGCCAATGACAGGTCTCGGGACTCCCCATTCCATAAGTGCGTGAGGCAGGTCTTCAGGATAAATCTCTTTCCACCTATCCTGTTGGTTGTGTTTCTGTGGATAACTCAGATGAATACAAGCCAGTCCTTCCATGCTTTGGCACCCGCTTCCTAACGCCTGCTGTGCGGGAAACCTGGGCTTCAGGG